GGGTTAATGGAATCACACGGTATGTCCTCTCTCATGTCGGGCTTCTTTTGTCAGCTTAATGTGGTTTAGGTTCCTTCATGTTGTGTGTATTGATAGTTCGTATGACCGTTATCTTGGTGTCTTTAATTTCTTCCGCAATATATCTAATCGCCAAAGACCGTGATGATGGCACGTAGAACTTGATACATTTAAATACACCCTCATTTAAGAAACAGCGAGACTCAGGCGGTTCTTGTGACATCCATTTTACAGCAAAAGCAGTATTTTCTCTTTGCTCATTTTCCCGCCTGTTACTCACGAGGTCCTGTAGGTGGACTGACAATAGTTTGCATGTAACGTCCCTGGTCTAAGCAGGGGGTATTCTCAAGGGAGTGGCAGGAAAAGCGGGGCTGTAGTGCCCTGTGGGTCTTGTAGTCGTCTCTCATCGAAGCGTAGCTGACACACGGCGCTGGCGGTAGAGTCACGGGGGCACAACACGGTGATTCGTCATGCCCACGCCTTGTGCTGTGCCGCTGCAGGTGTGGCTGCCCTCCGTCCCCATGCAGGGCTGCGACGGCACCACCGACTCCATGCCCTGTGGTCGCGCTCTGTTTTAGTTCTGCGTAATAGGTTAATGAGGGCAGCGGGGAGGAGAGGAGTGGGGTCATTCATCTGCCACACAGATGGCTGTTTCTGCGGATTTAAATTGAAATGCTGTTACCTCTGAGTAGAAACAGTGTGACGGATAATTTCTTACCGGAATAAATGACTTTTGAAAATACTTTATTTCTTGACACTGAATTTAGGGGACGTAGTCTTGCCTCAGAAATAGCAAGTAAATGTAATTGCCCATTTAAAATAATTCTTAGGCATCCTTTCTGCATCTTTTTATAGTTGTATTTTGAGAAACGATTTGATCTGGAAAAGTACTAACAGAGAATGGAAATAGCGTGGTACTCAAGATGTCCCCCTTGTTGTTTTTGTAGAGAAATTTTCTAGGGTCCTGGAGGGACAGCAGCAGGACCGAGCCCGGAGAGAGCAAGAAAGGATTCGTCTCTTTTCTGCCGACCCTTTTGATCTTGAAGCTCAGGCAAAAATAGAGGAAGATATAAGGTAATGACCCTTTACCTAAAGAGCAAGCTTTAGAGAATCCAGATTTCCCAAATGACAGGTGACCTGGTATCAGTCGGGCATCTACTTTGAGGCAGCGTCCTTGTTTTGTATGTGAGATAGTAATTTCAGCCTTTTAGGTCACTCTCCTCTTCGGTTCTCCTCATGTGTGGATTTAACGTTACAAAGTACGGGTACCTAACTTGGGGACTTTAATGAAGACTCCCGGACTAGCCTGCGGTGCATCATTAGAACAACCCCATCAACCTGGGGTCGATGACCCCAGGACTGCGCACAAGCTCCAGTTCGGTGAGACTGTTAGGCTGTCTGTACAGGCTGATTGGAATCTCAGTCCTTACACATAATACACGAGCCCTAATTAAACCCAGGCTTGAGCATGATTGGATTAGAGAGCCCTGTACGGATGGGCCCTTGTAGTCCTGGGTCTGTTTTCCTTCTGCAGTTCTTGAGCTGGCCTCCGTGGATAAACAGACTGCCAGACACATTTCCAGCTCCAGTTTCCCTAATGCTGTGGCTCGCACCTGGGCTAAGGTAGCATCACATAGGAAGCTTTAAAAATGCAAATGGCTTGTGCTCTGTTCCCCAGTCAGCCAGATGGATCAGCATCATAAGAGGTGGGGCCAGAGCAGGTATAATGATGCTAATGCCAACCTCAGTCACATCATGAGTCACAAGAACGATGCTGGTCAGTGGTCAGTCCGTTAGAATGAAAGCACAGCTGCCCCCCCACCCCCATGTCGTGTTTGTTGCGAACGGTGAAGGCTTTAGCACAGTAGTCCCTCACCTTACCCGTGGTTAATTGCAGTCCAGGAGCAGGTACATCAGAAGGTCAGTAGTAGCCCAACAGTGTCACAAGGCCTGTGTCATTCGCCTCAGTTCATCTTATTACGTGGGCATTTTAGCATCTCCCATCATCACAAGAAGGGTGAGTACAGTACAGTAAGGTATTTTGAAAGAGACCACGTTCACATAACATTTGCCACAGAGTATTGTTCTGTTTTATTACTGTTGCTTATCTCTTACTGGGCCTCACTGATAAATTAAGCTTTATCATAGGTGTGTATATATAGAAGAAAACATAGTATGTATAGGGTTCAGTACTGTCTGTGTTTTCAGGCATCTGCTGGGGGTCATGGAATGTATCCCTTGCAGATAAGGGGGAACCACTGCATAGCTAAGAAGAACTGTGTTCTTTGTCATAATCTTTGGTTACTTGGATGAAGCCTGACTTGGTCATTACATTATACTGTCAGCTTAGAAGTCAGATAATGGTTATTTTATCTTTTATTTCTCTGACTACATTTGAAATCAGGGACATTTAAATTGTATGCCGGAATCAGTTGCTAGCCCTTAGCCATTCACTTGTGTTCTTGTTGATTAAGTGTCCCCATTAATTGCGTCAGTATATTAGTATATGAATATTTTGGGGGTAAAAACAAAAACAAAAACATCTCACTAATTAAATCTACCCAGAGAAATAGGGAGAGATTTGTGTTCTCTGAACTTGACCACATTGCAGTTGTAAGGGAACCTGACATAATTCTCAAGAATAGATGTGTTCAGGGGCTCACTCAGTTGAATGTCCGACTCTTGATTTCAGCTCAGGTCATGATCCCAGGGTCATGGGATTGAGCTCCGTGTCAGTCTCCGTGCTGAGCACAGAGCCTGCTTGGGACAGTCTCTCTCTCTTTCTCTGTC